CTCCCCTCCCCTCCCCTCCCCTCCCCTCCCCCAGGCAAATTCAATAGGGTAGGGATAAACAACCTTTTCCAGCTGCAGGCTGGAACAACCCACCCCAGGTTGGAAGCAGCAGGAAGGCAGATGCTAGGACTCTGTCATTGCTGATGCTCATCTCCTCGGCAGCACAGGAAAAGGACCCACAGAAGGTGCCTCCCGCTACTGAATGCTGCTGAAGCCCTGTGTGTGTTGGCCAGATGCAAAAGCTGGATGCAAGTGTTCTACAGGCCACATCTGGCCTGCAGGCCATAGGTTACCAACCCCTGCAGCAGGCTATGCATATGCAAGAGGCATATGCAAGAGATACCAAAGGGGAATATATACTATCATCAGGAGGTGTGTGCAACATGAAGTTATGTAGAGCAGATTCCAAGAGCCAGATCCTCAGCAAGCATAAGTGGCTCTAGTTCACCTGAAGTTTTGAGTTTGCAATTTCTTGCATATTTTTAGTTAAACTCCAGAAGGGTAAAAGAATTCTGTCTGTCATCAGTCCAGCTACCGTGTGACTGCAGAATGGCATAGATCAGAGGTCAAGAACATGTAACATAAGGCCCACAGAGCCAAAGGGCTATTAAAGACCTGTGCCCAAGCCTACAAGCTGGAAGTAGTGCCTGTGCTGTTGCCACTTCTTCCCATCCCTCCACCCAACCTACCCCTACTCAAGGCTGCAGCACAGATGCAGCTTCCAGCTGCTGGAGAGCTGTGTTGGGTATGGGTTGCTTCTAGCTTCACCCATACTGCAGCTGGATAACAAAGAGGTGGAGAGAAGTGGCAGCAGTATGGATATTGCTCCTAGTTGTCTGGCCCTAGTGCACTTGGCTTCTGGCTGGAAGCTCTATTCACATCCCAGCTGGGGCAAAAAGGGAGAAGTGGCACTAGTGCAGGCACAGCTCTTAGCTGCCTGGCCCTGGTGTGGGTGTAGGAAAGGCTCTCCTGCTGCTAATGTGCTGCTGAAGTCACTGAGCCTGTGTTAGACTGGAGTCAGGTTGTTCCAGCTTGTGGCTTGACAAAGTTGCCAGCTCCTGGTGTAGATACCCACGTGCTGGCTTGGCTATTGGTAACAGTCTAGCTGCTGCAGCAGCACAGGGCTTCATGCAAGCTAACTGCTGATATTTACTCTGCTTCCTGGGCAGGGTTTGTAGCCTGAACTGAGCTCCCTTGCAGCTAGACCACTACCTAGATATTTCTTGGCTAATTTAAAGCTAGTTTGGGTAAGTCTACACCCACTTCAGTATTGTCAAGAGCCTCTGGGTCTATGAAACTCATGGCAGATGTCAATAAGCCACTGACCCTATAATCCTGGTCTGAATTCTTTGATGTGGAAAAAACAACCCATGGTATATATCTATTTTTGCAAAAAAGTATAGCAAAGAATAGAGCAGATGTGACCAGACATTTTGTATAGGGACACAAATCCTCTGTGAGCAGGATAAGCATTTAAATGGACATGAAGATATCACTAATTGAAGTTCCTCACAAGCCCCCAAACATCTATTACCTTGCCACTGCAGATACTTCTAACTGCTAGAGGACAATTCAGTATAACCTGATGCCCTCACTTAAGAGATACTTAGGACCATAGCTGTGTAGGAGTAATTCAGGTCAAAACTGTGGTACACAAACGGAGAGACAGAGGGAAACTTGCTTATTACCTGCCTAATGTGGGTCTGGCTCAGAGCAGGGCAACTATGAGCAGAGAGAAACACCTTTCAAGATTTATAAAAAAAAAAGTTTAGCAGTCTCATTCCCAGAGGACTGGGTGAAATAGGTCAAAATACCTACTTTTATAACTGGAGGAGGAAACTGAAGGATAAAAGTCTAAGGATATTAGAAAAACCCAAGAATTTAGAGCAATGTACAGTGACTGGTAAACAGAAAAAGTACAAATCAGGCTGCCCGAATGCAGAGATAATCTAGTCATTTAAGAGTAAATCCTAATGACAATAGACAAGTTGAGCAGCATAATGTCTTTATTTTAAAGAGGCAGGACAGCGAGGACAGGCTGGAGAGATGCACACAAGGACAATGGATCGTCAGTGACAATTAAAGTCAAACAAACATTTGCAAATTCCTTGACAGAAGAAAGAGGCAACAAAAAACAATAAGGTGAGGAAGAAGCAAAACATTTTACAGCAGTTCCAAACCAGGTGACATACCAATTATGCATGCGAGCAGAACATTAAATATTTACTCCATCAAGAAAGCTATGTAAGCAAAGTCATGTTCCATTAAAGCAGAATGATTAACATTTTCATGAACAACTGCACAATTTTTCCCATGAAAAGTTATGCAGAGAAATTTACGTAGAGAAAGAGACCCTCTATAGCAGTGGAAGAAAACCTGATTAAGCTGCACTTGTGCACGCTACAATTTTGCAATGTTACCAAGCCATTGCTAAGACAATTCACATGACTGGAGATGAGCAGGAGACAGTTTTCTATGCTGCAAAACAAACTTTTCCAGATTTCAAAAATGTAGTGTAACAGGAAGAAACCAGGCCCTTTCCAATTTTTTTTCCTGAAAATTTTGGCCAGAACAGGAGGGAGACAGGGAAGCAGGGAAAGCTTAGGAACAAATATCAGGGGAGCAGAATTGGTGGTTAGTCCACTGCCATTCTCCCTTATCTCATAACTGGTTACACTGGCATGGCTGTTTTTCAGTCTCTTTTGCAGGTGCTGATCCACTCTGTATAAAATATTAAAACACGAACTGGAGCAGAGGCTTAAATCTGGGTATCTCATATCATAGGCAAATGCCCTAACCACTGTGCTAAGATCAGTCTTTCCTTCTGGCGCAATAATTATTTATACAGTGGAATAGCTGCCAGAGGGGTAGTAGGGGTAGGAGTTGAGAGAGGGACCCAATAAGGCAATAACCAAGGCACCAGTTCCTGCTCTGAATCAGACAGAATAGGGACTTACACCTGGATTTCTCAAAGTTCAGGTAAGTGCCCTGAACTCCAGGCTATTTGCTATTATCTGTTGGTTTTGTCCAGAAAAATCCATTTGGGAGCTGGAAATCTTTTACTAATAAATATGTAGTTGAAAGCACTGCATTTGCACAAAATATTTTGGTTTGGATGCTATGGCATTTTCCAGGGGTTCACTAGAGGGGACCAACACTTCATACCAATGTAATGGTAAGTCATAGTATAAGTTACCAAGTATTCTAAGCTCTTCTTCAGATAGCAGAACATCAGAAAATGATATAAAATGTAATTGACTCATCATAATTCATAGAATCCTTTGCTCCCAACAATTCTTCATAACTATAATGCTTATTTTCATTCAGTGTTCATTGCTGTAATGCATAAAGCAGGATGATAAGCATCTTAGAGCTAAATTATTCTCAGTGATAAAATTAAGATTTTCCTTTCAAGTACTGCAAAGCTATGCATGTACTACTGCTAAGTATTGGAGTTAATATAGAACATTGCTTTAATATTATATGATGCTGTCAGGTGATCCTTCTTTTTAGGCTTGCTTTTTTAATCACTGTACACAGGTACCAAACTGTTTGGTCCGTTCTCCTGTAGAATAATCCAGTTACTTTCTGCAGTGTTAGCTATTGTGGCTCTGTGATACATGAGCAAAAGTAAGGCAATTACCATACTCTTTATTAACATGGTCCTCAATTACATATGATAACATTAATTTCAGTCATTTTTCCATTAGTCTGACGCTAGATACTTCTGGAATCCACAAAATAAGATAATGGTTTTGCATGCTATACTACGTATACATATATTCTAACAGCTTTAATCACAAATGTTGCTTGTTGGAAGAAAAAACCCAGACAAATGCACAAAAATATAAAAATTGAGTTACTTTGTAAAAAACATGTTCACAGGGATAGCGTCAGGAGTCCTTTCCTGAGGACCCAAAGAGGTGTCATGCAATGTTGTTTCAATGCTGGCAAAGGGAACAAATTAGATTGTGTAGATGACAAGGACATTTATTAACAAGGTGATTACACTGCATTTTCTTAAAGAAAGAGAAGCCTAATAAAAAGGCCTTTCACTCACCATGGCATGTCAGACTGTACAAGCAACAACTCACCACGTATCAAAGGTGGTTTGTCTCTTTGAGTGGTTTGTCACGGTACCGCTGTCTGATGGTATTGCAGGGGCTCTGTTTGACGCATTATTTTCAAGGAATGTACCCTCTGGACGTGGAGATGGAACTGAACAGAGAAATACCAAAATATTTGTATCCATCTCTGCCAAAGCCATATATTTTTATGGCTACTTCCCTATTTCTTCAGCAAAACAGGATGAAGAGGCAGTTACATTTTATACCTGCTCTTTGTAGTGCTGTGTGCGCAAGATACTTCAGATAGTACTGTCAAAACACTAACAGGAATGGTCTCAAAATACAAAAATGCCCCCAACTATCAATTATATTTTTAAAAAATGTAATGGAAGAAAGTCCAGTGGAAGAAAAGTTGGAATGCCACTGTCATTCAAGAACCTTAATGCTATAATTTGCTCTTTCCTTGCAGGTCTTTTGGCTACTCAATGTTTTTTTTATAGTCCTTTACCATCTTTACTCATGCTGAGAAATATTTTGCCTCATGACTTGCCTCTTTTTGCACTATCTATGGAACAAGATCCAAGATCTATGGAACTACTCAGTAACAGGATCAAAATCTGGTCCTATATACTGTTTAGAAATTGAAGTACTTGACTCGTACACAAAAAAGAAGAAAAAGATTTAGATAGCTAATATGTGAATTTACATACAATACCCCTAAAATTATAACTGTCACTAGAATACAGAACACAGCATTTCTATATAAAACGTTATGAGACATTACTTTATTAACCCATCAAAACTGTATACAAAGTAGATTATAAACAAGTGATGCATTCTTCCAGATGTAGTACAAAAATCATTTTACCCAAGCAACTTTTATGTGTTATAATATAGCTATCATATGCTTGAACAAACATACCTTTTTAAAGAATCTTTTATGACGATAGCTCTTGAACATATTAAATAATAAAACAAAACAGATTTTTAAACTAAAATTTTTACATTTTACAGATATAACTTCAGAGGCAGTGTGCGCTGTTAAATTTGGGAACTACATTCTAATCCTGGACTTGCAATTACTCTGATGTATGGCTACAGCTTTCTCTTTGTATCTCTGTTTTCCTTGAAGTAAGAGTGGAGAATTGAGGAGGTCAGGAAGCAGAACTCTGCTTCTGTGTACTTGAACTAGGAAAGTGAAGTGGTAAAACTGATGCGCAGAACCCAATTAACAACTAATTTTCAAGTTATTATGAGGTCAGATCTGAGCATTAGAACGGTTGCTGGATCCAGAGTAAGCAAAATGGATTTCCAGATGGCCTCTGGATATTTACATTTTTTCCTCTTTCCTTCCTTCTCTCCCAATTTTTTAAGATATAGAATTTAGCCCTTTTGCATGCAGAGACATACTTAACATTACTAACTAATTCCTAATACGGCTCATTCATGAAAAAAGAAAAATGTTCCCACCATCAATTTAACCAGAGAACCTGTCTGTCAATTAGGTTATTTTAAAAAGTGGCAGTCTCCTGAGCTAGCATATACCATTGACACTTGTTTTTTTCCTAAAACAGCCTGGGCACGGAGAATGGGACAAGTTTTAAATGAAATATTTTCTCTCTCTTTTCAGTGTCAATGGGAGGAAGTGTCTACACTGGTAAAAGAGCTTTGCTTTGCCCACACACAAAAAAAACTGCCATAAGAAGGCAGGGGGAGAGAAGACAAGACAGCAGAGGGGCTTTCTACTTCTCTTTCCTGTCTCTAAGAGTGTTAGTCATCTGTCCCCTGCTGGCCTTGGCAGGTTTAACTGTCTGCCCCATAGGCTGCAGAAACTGTAAGAGGCTTAGCAGCATCCCTTATAAACCTCCCCAACTTAATTAGCAGGGTTGGCAGATTGACAAGTGTAAATAAGGTTATATCCAACTAACTTAAATAGGATCATTAGGAGATTGGGTGTCCCCACTTAAGTTTCTTATGTGACTGACAATCAAAGAAGCTCACTGGGGCTTCTTAGAGGCCTCAAGGTTGTGGCCTAACCACCAGTCTTTAAACACAAGGGCCCTTGCAGAGCTTTTACTGCTCAAGACTGTGGCTGGTTTCCTTTCTCTTTTGACCTATTTACCCTGAACAGTCTGAACTGTATCCATAGGGATAGCACAGGATTTCAAATGGAGCCCTCAGATGGGTTGTGTAAGGGTACCAGGTACATAACAGCAACCTTGTCTCCAATCCACTGATTATTTTGGGGCTAGGTTTATACACATATGCTTTACTTTTAAATGAGGGATTTTAACCTTTAATGAACTGAAGAACAGATTTGAATGTAGGTATCTGTTGGTGAAAAACAAGATGCCAACCCATGTATCACCAATCTTAAATTAAACACTTTTTTTATTATAGAACATTCTTGTCATTTCAAATGGAAGATAGTGGGTGCCTGATACAGAGTTGGAGACTGTTTTCTGAACATCAAGACAGTTTAAAATACTAACTTGATCAGAATATAAATGACAAAATATCATAATAAAGTTTTGTATGCAAATTAAATTGGTTATGTTTTTCTGTCCTAAGTGGACAGTCACCTATCGATCAGTGTAAGCAAGCAATCTCCAAGAAGTGCATTCAGTCCTAGGCCCTGTAGAAAAACAGATGAGCCAGGGAAGCCAAATTATGCTCTGTGGATTTACTAGTGGCTTAGTGTAATTTTTTTAATTTGTAGCTGTTAGCTTTGCTCTTTTTTATCTGTACTGCTCTTAGTCTACAGTATGTTGAAAATTACAGTTTAGTTTTGTAAGACACAAACTTACCTCTATAAAAGCTGCCAACTCTTCTAGGAATAGGGTCATTATATAGAACTCTGTTTTCTTTAGTGGATGCTCCATCTTCTGAGTGTGGATCATGGTACGTTCCACCCTAAACCAAAGAAAAAAGAACTATTCAAATTCTAGAAGAAAACCAGGCTCATATACTGTTCTTCAGTGACATGTCCCCTCACAAAATGTTATCCAGGCATAATTTACCTCTTGTTTTATTAACAGGTGCTAAACATGAATCCCAAAACACTGCAATCAAAAAAAAAAATCACTCAATTTTTTTACTACAGAAAGGCAACGATGGCCGTAGGAACATCTCCCACAAAGGCATAGTTATAGACATGAAAGAAATTCAGACCTCAGACTTTTGCCGTGAATGAAATGAGGTTGTAACATCTCTGGAGGCATCTTTAACTGGTGGTCTTGTCAGATTCATCTCTGGTGGAATCTGGTCACTCTGCTGATAGCAAATTTAGAAAAGCAAATATGTGATTTGTGGTGTATGCAGTGCTGTATGATTATCACACATTGATTCTTACACACATGGGCCCAACAGTGGGGATGGTCCCATTGTGTTAGGCAATGTGCATAAATGCAGCCAGAGGCAATCCTGCTCCAAAGATCTTACAAAACTAAATAAACAAGATGACAGAATGGGAGTATTATTATTGACACATGGAGAAATGAAACAAAGAGGTCCCCATTCAAGAAAACACTTCAAGCATGTATTTAAACACATTTTCATTCAAGAAAGCTCTTACTTGGCCTTCAATAGGCTTTGGCCTTCAATAGGCTTTGACCACATGCTGAAAAGTAGTCAGGTGCTTGAATTGATCAGGTGTAGGGACCAAAGTGATTGACTTGCCCATCATCACACACAGGCTGCCTATAGAGGTGCTGGTTCACATTCTAATTAGAACGTGTCAAAGCAGACTTAACTTAGTGCCCCCGTGTTTTCAAAGGGTCATGGAGGCACTTTAACTAAAGCTCATTCAATGAATACAATGAGTTAAAGTGCCTCTGTGGCCATTTTAATATTTGAAGGAGGGGGGGATTAATACATGCAACAGTGAGCTGTTTAATTAGAGCAGCTGTCAGGGAACCGCTCTTATTAAAATGACCCCTCCCTACCCCTGAGCATGTGTATAAGCACCCAAAATCTCTGTGGCAAAGTCACAGATTGAACCTGAATTTTCTATATCCCAGGTCCAGTGCTGTAATTAGTTATAAAACCATCAAAAGGCACTCCAGATTGAGAATTTCTGAACTTCTTATGGTTAGTTTTAAATTCATTGATCATTGTGAATTATAAAGAGAAACATAAACATTATGGCAACCTGCTCATAAGAGGCATTTTGCTGAACCTGCACTCTGGATTAAATCTTAAATTGTCCAAAGCAGGCAAGAAGTATCAATAGCATAGCTCAATTTGTCACCTAAAATATTTGTACAACAAACAAAAATTGCAAGCACAGACTTAGACAAATGTGTTTAAACTGAAAACCAATTTGGGATTTCCAGATGTTTGATATGATGACAAATTAATTAAAGCGATGAATCAAGATGATGCAAGGATCAGAAAGAATGCTGATAAGCAAAAATCACCAAATAAGTTTTTCTTGATTAAGTTTGATTGGTCAAGGTTATCATCCCTTCCCCATGTTTCTTTGTATGGAATTACATGACTACTTGTTACAGGAGGAAGAAAAGGGTTTCTGCATGTCAATCAGCCTCGCCATCTTGGCTATTAGTCAGTAGGCATACATTAAAACGTAACATTGCAGTTTGTAAGCAGGCTTCCAAGTTGTGTCATCATATGATTACACTAGACTGTTACCTTTCATTGGAAAAAAAGCTTTCTAACTGATATGAAGAAAAGATTGAAAATGGCCATGGGTAACCAATGGTGTGACACCTGCCTGAGCCTAATGATTGCTTGAAATAATAATTTGCAGAGGGTGTACTGATGAACATTTCTCAAAGATGTGTTAACTTCAAGACTCATTTTTCTGGAAGAGTTTCCAACATCACCCAAGTAGAGGAATGTATCCAACATAAAAGGAGAGTGCAGGGACTGGGATTCATAGGCCCCAGACCCATCCAGGCTTTAACATCTAAATCATTTCTCTGGGAATGAACAACTCATTCTTTTCTTTTAATATACACAGTGATAGTGACAGTGGTGTTACTGCCCACCCAGCACCTGCAGAAAGTAGGACACTTGGGTTTAGGCTCAGTCACCAAGATACATAAACAAGGTTGGCCTAGGAACTGGAATCTTAGGGTGTAGAATTATATATTTTATATTAATATCAATGGATACCAATATAAACTATTACAATATATATAACTTCACGATAACAATGTAGCAGCACTGACACTGTTTCTTTCAGGGTCAAAGTTAGGTTGATTTAGCTAACTTCCATGACTACAGGATCATGCAGATGTAATATTTACATCTTAATACAGATGCAGGGTCCCTAAAAGCAGCTCTTCCTCCCCTTTTAAAGTGGTTAAATGGTATGTTAAGTAGGGCTGTGTGAAGCTTTGGTCTCCGATTTGATTTGGCAGAGATTTGGCCCAAGTTGGTGGCCAAATCTGAATCCAAATAGAATCAGGGGACCCTTTATCTCTCTGAATCAAATCTGAACCCTCCAAATCGATTCAGAGAGATTTGAACATAGAGATAACTTTAAATGTTTTTTCTACATACCTCTAGGTAGCAGTGGCTTGTGAGTGCTGTGATGCTGGGGCGGATGGAGCGTCCCAAAGGAGTTGGGGGGGCTCCTCAGCACTCTCGGCAGCAGACCTAGAAGCGGACCAGAAGCACTTCCAGTCCACTTCCAGGTCCGCTGAGGAGTGCGCAGGGGGCCCCCCTGCACCCCTCCAGCTCCGTGACTGGTGCCTCCTAGGTCTGGAGGTGCGTGCACCCAGGGTCCCCCTGTGGCCGACTGCCAAGCCAGGGAGGTACAGGGGGGCCCTCAGCCCACTCCCCGGCAGACCTGAAAGTGGACCAGAAGTACTTCCGGTCCACTTCCAGGTTCGCCACCGAGCACATGGAGGCCTCCCCTGCATTCCTGTGGGATGCTCCATGCACCTCAGCATTGCAGCAATCACAAGCTGCACCTGCTACCTCAAGGTATGTAGAAAAAACTTTTAAAGCTGTGTCTGTGTCCAAATCGCTAATTCTCTGAATCAGCATCAAATCTTCAGATTCGGATTTGGCCAAATAGAAGCAGAGATAACGATCCAAATCAAATCACTGTCCCTAATTTGGGCCAAATCCTAATCAAACAGGGTCTGTTTTGCACACCCCTAATGTTAACCACACCCCACGGAATCCCTGGTCCCAGATGAGTCATGGTTAGTCACGTTCCCTCTTGCTGCTGTCTGTCTTTGCTACCAAGACCTTGCGTGCCTTTCTACAACAGTAGCCCAGTTTCAACATGAACAGTGGAAAGTTCCCCCGTCGCAGCCAAGCTTATGGCAGTTGAGTGATTAAGGCACACTCCTGATTGATGAGAAAAGTGGGTTTGAATCTCGTCAGGTTGAAAAGATCTGAACACCCAGGTTCCTCCCTCCAGGACAAGTGCTGGAGACTATTCTGTACAATGTGAGGAGTGCCACCAACACCTATGCCATCTAAAGAACACTTTAGAACAGTGGTTCTCAACCTTGTTAGACTCAAAGAATCCACTGGAAAATGCCAGCTCTTAGCTTTCACTTGCTTTCTGACTACAGAAAAACAACAGAGCAATTATTTTGTTGCAAAGGACTTAAAAAGGTTACAACAGCTCAGATGGTTTTTAACACTACAAATTCCTATGTGGAATTCCTAGATTTATCTTGTGCATTGTGTCTGTACAGTTAACAGTGCTAATGTTGTGTATCAATCCACAGCACCCATGAAAGGACCCCAGGGTGATGCAGCACCTCGGCTGAGAATCACTGGTTTAGAACGAAACTGGCCATGCTTGTTCTGCTGTGTAGATCTCAGTTCTGTTGGAGTGGGCTAGACATGTTCTGAACATGCCTCAGAGCAGCTCCCTTGAGGATTTAGGCATGGGGACAACTGCTTTGTGAGTCTTAAATGGTTTTGATGGAAGCAGGTATCAAAATGCTCAGCTCAGCCACAATACTGCTGCCTCCGTGCATGAACAGAAGCAGAGTTTTAGATACCTATGTACACTTTCTAGCAAAAACACAGGTACTTCTAGCCTCTAAAAAGCTTAAGTGGGTAGGTAGTGATCAGTATGCTCCTTGGATGGAATTCAAGTGGTGAAGTGCATTTTGGAGTTTGGCCCTGAGAGTTTACAAATCCTCTTTTGTTTCATCTATAATGTGCTTCTACATCAGGAGAGAAAAAAAGCACAAAAGGGGATGCTTTAGACTAACAACCTAAAGTCCATGGGGCCAAGTTAAGCTTCTAAATCCACATTAGATAAGCTAAGTACAAGTTATTGGATTTTGAAATGCCACAGTAACATTGACTACAGTGAACTTCAGTGGGATCTGTAAGTGCTGAACAACTCTAAAAATCAGGCCACTTTCACTCCTTTTCACCTTTACTTTGCTAAAATATGCATTTACCAGCTTCACTGGAGAATCTCAGGTTTGAAAAATGTTGAGCTTAAGGGATAAAAGCATTGAGCTAGACACTGCTAACTCAAACAGGCATTTTTATAACCAAGCCAAAAGGAACTAATTCAAGAGAGATGGAAGACTCATCATTATTTTTCCTAACTACATATAAGCTTGTCTATTGGCTGTCAAAAGACAACGAGTGATCTGATAATTGCACTCAGTATGTCTCCACACAACATGAAAGACATTGCATATTAAATTAACATTCATTACATGAAACTCCAATGCAAAAAATACTAACAAACTGCAGAATAAAAAAGAAAAGCCAGCATGAGAAACCACACTGTCTTTGAGTGGTATGTTACAACTTTTTTTAGTAACTCAGTGCTGACTGCATGACTCTAGACAAAAACATTTTGACTGAAATGACAGATGGGAATCAGTGCACATGACAGGAAAGAGAGTTTAGTTTGTAGCTACTGCAGGGTCATTTTAAACATTAATTTCCCTATAAAATAGACTGTAGTTGTTAAGCCTCATGAAATCTATGACAGAAGGGTGTTTTATGGGCCCTTGCTAATGATGAAAGCATTCACTCACATCTGGGGATATGTATAGGTGCACAAAACTTCTACTAATGTGCTTTTTAGAAAAAGGGTTGTATTATTTTAGAACAAAGTGCATCAGCACTCTGCGAGATTTGACATCTCCAGGAACATGGAAACACTTAACCTGCAGACAGAAGACAAGGAGGCCTAATTGATGGCTCCTTGTTTATCAGCCAAACAGTGAAAAAGGCAGCTGGCTAGGAAACATCACAGGATGGAAGCAGCCAGTATCTTGCTGAGGGGGAAACAGAAGGATGCTTAAGAGGAACAGTGACCCCTTTTTCCTTCACTTTCTACATAGGAAAAGTTAGAATCCCACAGCTTACCTCAATATTGGTCTGAAAAGGGGTCTGAGAGAATAAAGCATTACACGTTTGTAAAAGCATAGTGAATATTGCTCTAAAATTCTGTGGCTGCATCCACATGAGTATGGATGTTTGTTTCCCCGGAGACAAGAAGCAGCGCCACATCTTGCGCCACTGCTACTTGTCCCCAGCGAATACCTGTGCCATGTGCCCTCTGGCCCATGGCAGGTTACCCCAGGTAGGGTACGGGATGCTGGGGCCAGCACTGGGTTGGCCCTAGCAGCCTTACCTGGGGTCTGGGGGCTGCAGCAGTGGCGATCCTGCAACTTGGAGCCTGGCTGGCAGCCAGTTTGTGCCCTGTGTTCACCACTCCACTTTTTTGGGGGGGTGGGTTTTTTTGACCCCTGGGATTTCCCAGGGCCAAAACCCCCCTGGCACTGCTACCCTGTAGTGCAGAGAACAGTTGAATGTGTAGTATGTGGCACCGCAGACATGTCTGTGGTGCCACGCTCATCTGGACGCAGCTTATTATTAGATACTGCAAAATAGGAAATTAGCCACAGCTTGGAATAATCAGGCAAACCCAATAAAACTCAAAATAGCTTACTGATGATTGATTGTATAATACAGTCTTTTAAAAATTCCTGTGGTTAAGAGATCAATTATTACATTTTAATCTCTTCTCATAAAAAATGGGGTTATGAAGATGATTAGTGATGGCAGTGGTAAAATTAAAATAATCAGCAATTTCATCAAGCAGTGGAATTTTCATGCAGATATAGAACAAGGTTTATCTGATCCCATATCATTCAGTAGGCTATAGAAGACCTTCCTCTTACAGACGTTCCATAGTTTTATACCTAAAACCAACAGGTTTACCACTAGACACAATCATCTTATCTGTCCACCCAACAAATGTAGACAACAGCACCTCATCCCAATGATTTGATTCAGAGAGATAAAGGGTCCCCTGATTTCAAAGCTGTACATTTTACTTGAGTTCTAGAATAACTTTTAAATACAGGTATCCAATTTTGATAGAAAGCTTCAAGTGATGGAAAATACAACACATCTTTAGGTAATAGTACGTTGTTGCATTGGTTAATTACTTTAAAGCATTAAAACACTGTGTCTTATTTCTAGTCTGAACTTGTCTAGCTTCAGTTCCCAAGCACGGGATTAAAGAGCCATTTACTAACAAAAATCTCTTCCCTATGATACTTGTAGACAGTCAGTCACCTCTTATTCTTTTTTAGGATAAACTAATTAATTAGATTGAGCTTTAGTAGCTCACAATGTTTTCCTGACCTATTCTTGTAGCTCTTTTCTGAATCCTTTCCAATTTTTCAGTAAATTGCTCTTATCTTAGAATTCACTTCACTGTATATATTTGTATGTATTTATGTGAAATGCTCACTTAGGCATTTCTTTTTGCCGTAAGTTACTATCCAAATTTGCAGAAAGATTACTGGTATTTTAAACATTTGGAGGCAGATTTTGTGTTTATTTGTCACATGTGCAACATCAGTGAATTCACTAAGGCTTCATAAAAATGCAAACCAGCACAGAATTTGGCACATTAATACTCAAATCAGAATATCTGGCTACAGAAAGAGGAGTTGGCTCTGTACAGACTATGTAAGGGCCTACATAAACTGGGTAGTGCGGCTGCCCTGGAGTTGCATAATTTTGAGCCGTACGAGTGCTTAAAACCACTTTAAGGTGTTAATGTGCAGACAATCCAGGGGTTAAGAGCTCCAGGAGCTGCCCAAAATTACTGTGTAAAGGGGCCCTTACTTAACCCAGCCTAGACTGGTGGCAGGGGTCACTATCAAAAAGCCAGTATTTATTAATACTTCCTACAACAGAGCCTCTATCATGGTCTGCATACTTATTACACAAAAAATGCAAACACTTGGCATATTTCCTCTCAAGTAATTTGACTGCAGGTCAAAAGTGAAGCAATCACATGACACAGACATACATCAGTGTTGCTTCAATGCAATGTAAAGCTACCCCTTGAAAAGTCAGGAATAACTACACATTGATGTACCATATGTTTCCTCCCCTTGTCAATTTTATCTCTGGTAGCCATTTACCTAATGCAAATATGATCCCTCACCACCTAGTAGACAGACACTGTTACAGTTTCCCTTTAAGCAGAGAGCTTGGGCGCATGTCTGCTCCCTACTACAGAGTAAATTTACTGCGGAGTAAAATCTAGAACAAATTTCTCTATAGTAATTTTGTTGCATGGCTGCAGCCTAAGGCCTTGGTGGACAGACTCATATATACCACAGGGTGATTTGTATCAGTTTTGTATGCCAATATAAATTTCACTAGAATCAGGAATAGACAGATGTACAGCTATTTTGGGATAGTTCAAACAGGAGGCAGCTACAATGGGGTTTTACATGTAGGCAATGATGGATATTGTAACAGATAATTTACTGTTAGCTAATGACCGTCTTAGAAGTGACACAGACAAAACTAAACCTGGTGTAACTTGCACTGGTAGTTTTATTCTTGATTCTTTCTGGAATAATTTTCCATGGGTTTGGGCAAAGTCCCCTTGGTTTAGGGGACTGTGAAGTCTTCACGCCACCTTTTTGTACTTGCACAATGCCAAAAATACCAATATATATGTTTGGTCTGTCCACAGCTCATGCGAAAAAAAACAGTGCAGTATCTCAAATGGTTCCTGTATCGGCAAACTACTGCTGTAAGATAAGTGACTGAAACACTCCACTTCAAAAAGGGTTAAGATTAGTATTCACATCAGAATGATACAACAAAAAAACCCTAAAACAGTCTAGTAAAAATTACATTAGATAACATAAACAATGGTTTGGCAACACTTACCAATCATAATTCGATATACAATTTTGATTGTGCTCACACTGCAGGTATTTCACCATAAGTAAACTGAACTGTGATTTGTGTTGGCTCAAATTTAATAAATAAATATAGAAGGGAGATATAAAATTATAAGCTGCTTTTGCCAACATGATTCCAGAGGCATGCAAGAAAATACATAAAGGAAAATAAAATCTTTTGCAGTAGATGACATTTCAGACTAACCCTATTTGTATCTTCTGTACAATCTTCACGTGAGGAGCCAACAGATCTGGTGAGTGACCTATGCTGCACCTGTGGAGATAACAGTTGCAGGCTGTTTGCTCTGGCTGCCATCCCTTGCCCTACGCTTAAGCCACCCTCTGAGCCCTTTGACCTCACTCTGTCCCGGCTCACATACATAGAGTGTCTATGAGGGCGCTGCTGTGAGGAAAAGGGGCTAGTGTAACCTAGACCATATGAAAAAGATTCATGTGGGGCAGATAACGAATGTGAATGGCTTCCATCCATATGATCTGGCAGTTTCAACTCCTCCATGGTTTTGGAATGTCTTGTTGACAGTCTTCGTGAATCAAGGGTACTGTCACTTCGGTTATTCCTCCCCGATGGGCTGAGTAAAGTTCTGTTATCACCGTGGCGAGGAGGAGTTGGGCTGGTAGGAGAGTTCAAGTCCATGCAGCTTGATGGAAAATACCGACTGCTGTTTGGTTCTGCAATTTGAGCTCTGGCCTCAGAAAGATTACCCACAGATTTGGAATCTGTCAGGACCCCATGACTCTTGGACTTTGTCCGATATGAGGGGCTCTTGGATGACTGAGGAATAGTATCAATATAGCTATGGCGACTATGCTTTTCACCTGGTTGCAGTGTGCCAGTTTTGCTTTGAGAACTTTCCATAAAAGAGTGCCGATTCTGTTGAGATCTGGCGTTTGACTTCAGGTATTTTGTACCTGGACCATCAGAAGCTTTTGGGTCCACATTAAAATCAAATTCTGTTTTTGTCTTTGCTTCCTTTGGACTGAGAAGATGTGGGATGTTATTATTGGCTAGGTCCTTGCTGCCAGATCCAGGTGGGTTGCTTGGTTTTTTTGCATGCATTGGACTGTGTGCAGCTCCCGTGAGGTTTCCATTTATGAAGCTTTCATTTGCTGGTAGAACCTCTTCTCCTCTTTGTAGTCCAACCCCTAGAGTCTGCATATCCTTGCTGTTCGATCTGTGATGCGACTGCAAAGCAGCACTTTTGCTGGCTTGATTTCTACATTAAAACGCATAAAGAAGAATTAATGTGTTAGCATGCATGTGAATATATTAATACATACCTAACTCCAGTAGCATACACTGATTTCAAAATGAAGTAGTTTTTTCAATACTGAGAAAGAACTTAAGTGTAGTACTACAAACTACATGTCTGGACCTCCCCTGTCCCAAACACTTAAACTAATAAATTTGTAATACCTGGTAAAACAATATACTGTGTTCTGATTGCCAAATTTTCACTTCTAATTCATACACAGAATGATAATACTGACATTTTAAACCGTATGTATTCTAACATGTATACACACACCCACTCCCACATATATATATGTGCATGTTAAGTGTTTTAAGCACATTGTACACAGAAGAGTTAAAGTATTTATTCAAATACATAAAGATGAATTGTCACAAATTAGGACTGTGGTAGTACTATATTAAATAAGTTAATACAGCAAAAAGGGGAGCTCTTCTTCTGGGCAAGAATAACAGAACTCTCCTGCTGATCTCTGAATATTTCCAGGTGAACTTCTCTGCCCCCAACCACAGAGGGAAAAAGATAGGTGTGCTTTCCATGTCTTTGTGGACTTTGTAAGGCATGCAAGACAAAAGACATGCGACTACAGGTAGTGTAAAATCAAATGACAGCAGTTATAATTCTTTGTAGCTTCTCAGGGACTCCTACGGGGAGATGCCTGCTGTGACAGGTAATATTTCTGGAGTAAATGTGTTCATGCTGTAACAATGCTGCACACTTTAGTTCCCCTGACTAGCTTGCACACAGGGGAAGAAAGAGTAATAATGCCCTTACTAAGACATGGTGTTGTGTTTGTCCAAATGCAACCATAAATAATACAACTCAAACAACAGGTGTGGGTAAAAGCACTGCCATGCTAGGCAGGCCTTAATATATTTGGAACATATAATAAAGCTATGCATTCGTTGCTAGCTGTAGATTCAACAAAACAAGAAGTTAACTTGGATTCTAATGAACCCATCCAGTATATTCACATCTCTCACACAGGGCTTGCCTAGGTGCTGGAAGAGCCAAGATGCACACCCATCAACAAGGAACTGAACAGCCTTACTGACACTTCAATAAGGTAGGACTGATGAAACATCCTTTGGAGGTGACACCCAGGAAGTGTCAAGGGAAGCAGAGGGAGAGAAGCTTCAAACAATGGAGGGAGCAGCTTGAATGGGAAGGACAGTGTCAGCTGGAAAGCTGCAGAGCCTGGAAAGGGAATGGCTCTTTTCTTTGTGGACTGAGGAGAGAACAGCCAAGCTGCTTTAGGGGGCTTGGGACTGTGTGGACTGGAGAGAGAACAGCTGAGCTAAATGTAGGGGGATCAGGGCTATGCAAGCTAGACTGAGAAAAGGCAGACTGCTTAACCCCCTTTGGAGGGGTGAAAACTTCTTGCTTTGTGGGCTTTACTCCAACAAATACCTTTATCAAAGAGATATCCAGGTTGTAGCCATATTGGTCTAAAGGAAAAGGCAATCAGGACTTGTAGTAGAGATATCTTTTCTTAGATCAACAAGAGCTGTCCCTCTCTTTGAAGAGGGAAAATCCCTCTCTTGGGGGCGGAACTGAAAGGAAGCTCCTGGAAGGAGGAGCATAGGTAACCAGCAAGGATCAGAGACCAAATGGCTGGGGCCTCAGAGTCCGAAGGAGCCAGAACTGTAGAAGCCATCCCTGGGCTGGCTTTTACAGAGTATTCAGAGAGACCAGGTAAGGCCAGGGAGGCCCAAGCAAGCACTCCCTGGGGGGATCCGTGACACTGGCCCATGGTATTTTTAGTGTTAATCAGAACAAGGACTGTTTTGGACTGGAGTCACATCTGTATAGGTACTTCCTTCTGTAACCCTCACTTTCCCATTCCCATCAGTCAAGAGGTCTGAGTTACAAACCTGTCCACCTAATTTCTTATTTCACATGCCTAAGGCTTTCTCTGGTATCTTCCAAAACAGAGTTAAAGATGTTAATGATTTTTTCCCCATTTCTCTTGTATGAAAATAAATTGGACATAAATGATAAGCTTTTAATATTTACCAGTATCACATGGATTGTAAAAAGAAAAATAAAGCACTTTTTAACAAGAAACTTAAAAAAAATCTTCAAGACATGAAAATGCTAAATTGAAGGATGCACTTCCAGTGAAAAATGGAATTAAACCCTAAGCATAAATGCTGTGACTTTGTTGGTGACCGCTCCTTCATTTTCTGCATCACAAAGACATTCATATAAATACATATATCTTTTCTTAAAACTGAAAACAGCTGTGCCTGGTTCTTCTTTACACCTCAGATCTTCATAAGATTCATAGATTCATAGATTAAGGGTCGGAAGGGACCTAGTAGATCTTCTAGCCCGACCCCCCGCCAGGGCGGGAGAACAACAAAAACCCCAAAAAGAGAAATGGGACTCAAACGAGTCCAGCTAGGTGGGCATCCAGCCTCTTCTTAAAGACCCCCAGGGTAGGGGCCAGCACCACTTCCCTTGGAAGTTGGTTCCAGCTCCTAGCCGCCCTAACGGTGAAGTAGTTTTTGCGGATGTTCAATCTATACCTCCTCTCCAACAGCTTGTGCCCATTTCTCCTTGTTATGCCAGCGGGCGCTAGGGGAAACAGCGTCTCCCCCAAACCCCTCTGGTCCCCCCTAGTGAGTCTATAGACAGTCACCAGGTCCCCCCTTAGCCTTCTCTTGTGGAGGCTGAATAAGATTCATCTTCCTTGTACGCTCACATGCCTTCTTGCTTCTACCCCATTTGCTTTTCAGTCCCAGACTCCTCGGTCCCTGTCCTTCCCCTGGACTACTTTGGTTCTTGCTCTGTGTCCTCTTCCCTCACACCACCCGGCCCAACTAATGGCCATCCCCAGCCTGTCATCAAATCCCATTTCCCTCCTTGTATTCCCATTCCAGTCTCTTTGCCCAAGTTTCAGGCTCAGCACCTTGTCGTAATCTGCTTCCACAGTCATTGTTCCCACAGGTCTGGCTCTTGTCTACTCTACGTTCAAGTCAGGTGACTTGCTCCTCAGTGCCACCTGCTCCCTATCAAGAGCTGCCATTGAGAGCACAAGGGTCTCCCTGCCCTCAGTTCCAGTACAGGGATGCAGCATTGGCAGTAGCAGCCTAAAGTTGTAGCTGCAAGGAAAGCTATGCTCAGCCCCAGCCTAGAGCATGACGGGTACAAACAATCTTCATGGAACGCAGCTGCTGAAATGTAAGAAATCTCTACTAAGCATGTGTGAACTGTAATCGTTCAGAAACCTGCATTTTGGGATAATGTGTATGGGGACAGCGACAGGTATATCCCTGATACAAAATGCTTCGTACTAAATTTCAAGTTCTGCCCCAAACCACAAGGAACCTAGAAGAGGTCAAATAAAGTATCAACAGATTTATTTATAACATCTGGCAAAACCCATGTTTTTTCTCTGCCTCATTTTCAGCAGTGACTTCAGCTAAAATTTCCCAGAAAAGTTCAGCTTGACACAGAAACCCAGAATGGAAAAAAAGCTGGAGTGAATATTTTAGAAGTTGCAGGTAACAGAAAACATGTTCTTACAATGGGGAGTATTGGGCAACCTTAATTCTAGGCAATGCTACCAACCTTTTCCCAGTACCACATACATGGGTACACAAAGGTGGAAGGTCCAGTTACAGACAAACTCTATTCTTAGTGAAGGACTTAAGAGATTGCAGATGAAGTATGTTTTATAACTGAGAGGGAAGACAGCTCACATACAAAAACTAGTGTTAGCTACTACATTAAGCTAAGAATAGAAACTATTACGTATACCAAAAGGTCAAAATTATCAAGTGGTTACTTTTTCTTTTCTTGAAGATGATTTCATATTTATACCTGAAAGCAACTTATTCATTAGTGAAATGATGATAGTTTTAATAGTGAAGGTCTTTTTACTGCTTTTACCTGTTTGACAATGTGTTGCTCTCCCCATGATAGGATTTTCTCTTAGTTGTCCGTGAAGGTGAACTTCCACAGCGATCCATGAGTCTCTGGGTTTGAAATGAAGGATGGTTCAAACACTGTTCTGTCAAATACCTATCTCCTGGATCCAGTTTCAGCAAGTTCTTTTGAAAAGCAAATCCAGGTTTTAAACAAGCATTAGTGTTTAAAACAGTCACAGAAAAAAATAGTTCAACAACATCCTCATCTCAGTACTTCCTGTGAGACAACTGCTTGCAACAGCAAGACTAATTTAAGTTACATCATTATACCATTATAACAGCAAAGCATGACTGTAAAAATCTGAATATGTAATCTGAATATGGAATGTGTGAAGGAAAGGGTCCAACTGATTCAATTCTTCTTCCCCTACTTCCTATTAGGGGTGTACACTTCCTAACAAGAATCTGGAAACTGAATCTATTTAAAAGAAATTATTATAGAAGGTTCTTTGAAAGCCAAGCTACTACTTTCATTCATATGATATTCAGCTCATAATCAATACTGACCTATGCAGGTCTGTAAAAAAACTCAGTTCCCTCACTTCCAAATTCAGAATAAAGATGTTTAAGGGTGAAAGTGCAAAACGATGCTAGATAGTTAGCCTTCAGACAAGATAGGGAAACAGGTCTGATAAACAGAAATTGAACTTGATTATACAGAGACTCCTCTGTTTGATAAAAAAAAATATCCTTGTAAGTTTGATATTTTAAAATACCGCATTTACTCAAAATTAAGATGACCGAATTTAAGACGACCCCACAATAATTAGATTCTATACATGGAAACTGTATACATTTGTTATAATTTCTCATGTATAGAATCCAATTATTGGAGGGTCATCTTTAATTCATCCCTCCCCAGGGGGGCAGGTGCAATGGGGAGGTCAAGCAGTATGCTCCTTGCCTGTCCCCCCTGCCCCACAGACTCAGGCCCCATTTTCCCCTTCACCTCTGCTTCCTCTCTCCCCCACCCCTCCGTGTGCTCCCTCCCCTCTCTCTGCAGCCTCTGCTCCCCACACCCCTGCTCCATACCAGCAGTTTCCATCTTCTCTCTAGCCTGGGCACTGCGCACACCCCAGCCCAGCACGTGTAGCAGCTGTGCATTGTTGTTATGGAGCTGTGCTAGGGCTGTGCTCAATGCTCCAGGCTACAATGTGGATGGAGCCTGGCAGTGCAGAACGAGGGTAGCCAGGGAAGGGAGAGGGGCAGGCAGGGAGCTGTGGCTCCATGGGGAGCAGGGAATGGAGAGAAGAGGCTGCAGGGAGAGGGGTGGAGATGGTGGGGTGCAGAGGTGGCAGGGAGTGTGGGGCAGACAGCAGCTGCAGCTGTGGCCCCGATCCTGGGAAGGCGCTAAAGCTGAGGCTACAGCAGCTGCCTGCCCCCACACTGC